TGGTGTGAATTTTTCGATGGTGAACCAAAACAGTTGAATTGTGGCTTGGCAGCCATAATGGCCCGCGTTTGCAACGAATTAGATAAAAAATGGAACATGTCTGATAGCTTAAATTTCAAAATTAGTGGCGCAGAAAAGGTTTGGACATATTTCTCTGCTACTTTGAGTAAATACTATGGATGAACTTTTTATGTAATATGAAATGATTTAATATGAATACTATATATATATATATATATATATGGATTACACTGTTTGTTAGGATCGTGATATCTTGGACTGAGGTGGCATCTTTATACAATCACTTCTGAGCCGTACTGAGATTAATGGGTAAAACTGAATAAATCGTGGGATCGTGATCATTCAGAAAGCTAATATTTTCCACTAAGGATATGTTAGACCATAATTTATAATTAAGGAAATAATCGTATCTACAATGATAAACCCAAGCAGTCTAGTGATCAAATTATGAGCAAAGCAATTATCTTTTACCTGTTAGTTTTTCCAGAATTATGCTACAGTAAATTATTAATTTGACTCAAACACAGGTAAAATCCTAGTATAACGAATACAGTAATAAATACATTTACAGACTAACGAGCAATTTCATTATTTATTGAAATAAAATTATTTTTTCCTTTGTTATACAGAGCAAAGTTTCATTATAATGAAATAACTTGTGTAGCCCCAAAAGTTTCGTTATAGCAAGATATATATATATAAATATAAATATATATATTCATCTTTGGATCTGAAGTTGGCAAGCTTCTACTAAGTCGGCGCGTTTATAATAAAATAGGTAGACGTTTTGGTATATCAACAGAAACTAATTAAATTAACAAATGACTAAAAACTCACGCTTTTTGAGATCGGTATTTAACTCGCAAATGTAAATTTCAATAATACTCCTGCATCAAACTGATAATAGAGAAAAACATGTAGTTTACTCGAGCCAGGCGGTTCCTCAATGATTGGCAACAGTCAAAAGTGGACATATTATGTGTCTTTTGTAATCCCTACTATAGAATTCCTTCAAATTGGTTTGGCCTATGAAAAGATCGTTATGAAATTGATTGAGTAGGCCTAATTTCCCTTAGGCATAACTTAACTATCCATCCAAATGAGTGTATTAACTTGTAGAAATCTACTTTGAACGACTCACTACTCGTTTTGATGGTCGAGAGAATATAAGTATCTCTAAGACGATAGTCGGCCAACTTCGGGCGAAAAGGTATATAATCGCACAAATTCATGTAACTCTATTTGAATATCCATTTCATAAGGCAGAAGGGTGGCAAAATGTCCAATGGATGGAAGCCTTATCCGGTGGAGATAAACATTGGCAACTGCAAAGTTCTGTTCCGACGAGAGAACATCCGTATGCCCGATAAGATCGAATTTCTTCAATGTTAATACACCAATCCTGTGACCGTCGAATATGAACCAATAGGATTTTGCCTGGCCTTGGTCAATCATAATTTGAGGTCATAGGTGGCTGAGCTTTGGGCGAAGGGTCTACAAATTTAGGATAACTTAGTGCCGGACTTAGTGAAATACATGGTGTAACATCAGTCGCCACCTCTTTCCAGGATGTCTAATCCTAGCTCTTACAAAAGGAACATCTTGATTCCGATTGACGCCAGTTCACACAGCAAGCGGGCATTCAACTGGTACCTGGAGGAGATGATGCGCCCGGATGATTTGATCCACTTTATTCATATTGTGGAACCACAGTATTCGGGCATGAGCTACGGAATCGGGGTGCAGATGCAGATGGCCGTCGACGAGCTGGGGAAAGCACTGCAGGAGAACGTGGAGATAGGCAAGAACCTGGGACAGGATTACCTGACGCTTGTCAAAAGCCTCGGCATGCATGCGAAGTATGTCCTCCACGTCGGTACCAGGCCTGGAGAGCATATTG